GCGCCGCTGCAAGTCCTTCTGAGAACTGGTTCCCTGAAACAAAACCAAACCAGCAAAACCCAACGAAAAAGCCCCAAAACAAACAGGACAGACACAAGGTTTGTTTCCACTACTGTCTCAGTGTACTTTATTCTCCTGCTGTCTACAGCTGAACAGCCACACAGGACAGAAACAGGTAGCACTGAGGAATGATCAGATTTCTTCCCTCCACGCCCCCTCCCCAACTTCAGGAATGGCTTTTTCTTTTTTTTAATATTTTTTTTTTTTAGGAAATCCCACCCCACCTCGAGAAACAAAATAAAAAGAAAAGGCATTACTAGAAACGTGACCCAGGCCTCTCCCTAGTCCGTGCTCCGGAGCTGGCTGGCTCTCCCAGTTCACAGAGCTCCTCCTCTCCTCTAAACGCCTGGGTTTTGGTTTTTTTTTTTTATTATTTTATTAATTTTTTTTTTTGTACACTGGTTCAAAGTCGGCACTTCGACTGCAATCTGAACCCAGCACTGAAAGGCACATATCTGATACCCTGTACAAGAGCTAGTGTGGATGCTGCAGTGCAGATGGGCAACGAAAGCGGACTCCGCTGTAATGGATCCCAGGATCAGAGTGGGAAAAGGAAATTGGGGAAATAAAGCAGATCCTTGCCTGCTTTTTAGGAAAATAAAAAAGAAAAAGAAAAAAAAAAGAAAAAAGAAAAAATACTGGCTAAGGTTTTCTACTCTCCCTCCCACAAGCAGCTTTTAAAAATGCCCATGTTAAACTGCAGATTCAAATGCTGGTAATATCACAGCTGCATTAATAAAAATGAAATGAAAAATAGTCTCAAAATCCTGAACCTCTTCCATTTTTTGTTTTTTGTTGTTTTTTCTTGGCTTATTGCTGACGATCCTAGGATAAGCAAGGGACTGTTCCTCAAAAGCAAAAGTCTCATTTAAGAGGAAACGAGAGATTCTGATCCTTCATGTGAAAAGATGTTGCGTGATGGGGGAAGCAGTAAACAGCCAATTCATTTCTGAGTTGCCCATCAGACTGTTACTACTCTATTGAAAAAAAAAATTAAAAATAATCATTAATGGGTTCCCCTTTTACTGGAAAGACCAAGAATACAAAAAGGAAGTATTGGGGAATGTTTGACACCATTTTATTAATCTTCAACTGCAGTGGAAAAATATAACCTTTTACAAGTGCCGTCTTGTGTAAGCTCAAGTCAGTATATATATATTTTATATAAATTTCTTTTTTCCTTTTTTTTGTTTTTGAAGTGCAGCAAGAGAACAATACCACATTAAATTTGATCAAATAAAGAGCACAAAAGGCCAAGCAGTTTCCAAATGGCATTTTATCAGATTTTGTTTGAACATTGAATTTATCCTCATTTTGCAATCCAAAATATTACCTGAAGTTTTATTTTGTTTTTCAACTCTTTGGCACAATTTTTGTGGGTGTTCGGGCTGCTACAGTACAAGTCAGGAGAGATCTTTCCCTTTGCGTTCTCACTGCCAATTCGGAGCACTTAACGTTTGTAGTTTTGTTTAGGTTTTTTTGTGTTGTTTTTTTTTTTTAAGCCTGAAATCTCATTTGACAATTTGTTTCTATTCCCTCTAACGCAAGAGTTTTGTTTTTCCCCCATTTCTACATTCACAGTTGAACAATATAAAGGAAGGAAAGGCGCTTTGATGAAACGAGATCATGAAAAGCGTCACTCAGAATGGGAGCTCTGAACATTCGTCAGTGTTTCCCTAAAATAAAAAGCCCTAAAGAGCGACTTTCCTTTTTTTTTTCTTTTTTCTTTTTTTTTCTTTTTTTTCTTTTTTTTCTCCTCTTTTCTTTTTTACATCTCTTACGCTGCATCAGTAGACTGAACTTCGGTTAGTTTATGAAATGCAACAGCTAACCCTTTTTTTTTTTTCTCTTTTTTTTTGTTTTGGGAAAAGATAAACTGCAATGACTTGAAGTTGAGAATGTGGATACCGCCTCATTCACACACACTCACTCCTAGACTGAAAATCCTTCACCCCCTCCGTTTATCCCATGCACCGACAGCATCGTGCGGCAAAGGTTAGAGCAGGCGGCCGGAGACCCAGGCTCCGTCTCTCTCCAGCAGCCAAAGCCAGACCTCAGACAAAGAGCACCACAGTTGAACCCAGTTTCCTCTCCTCCAAACCGGCCGGTTTTCCCCTTCTGCGCCGGCCACGACAGAGAAGCTAGTCCTGGTCTGTCGGAAGAAGAGACTTGCTCGTTACTCGGACAGAAATCGGGTCGTTTCCTCTTCCCGAAGACGGCCGATTCCAGGTTTTCTACGCAAGTCAGTGCTCAGCTCGCTAACAGCGCTGCTGCTGTTGCTGCGGCGGGATTTTCAATGTGGTGTGTTTCAAGCCTCACTCACTCATCCTCTCATTCCCAAACATTCAGCATCCGTGCACACTCCTCACTTCCGGGTTTTTTCAAAAGATTGGAGATTTCCAGTGGGGGTCTCAGGTGTCATCCCAATGGTAACAGATCTGCAAGCAAAGAGGGTTCGTCAAAAAAAAACTAGAAAACTCTACGTTTGGGAGCTAAAACTAGCAGTAAGTGGAAAAAGATGACTAAAAGAGAAGTAATAGGGATATTAAGGAACTTGTCAAGGCGGGGCGATGAGGCTGTAACAGACTTGCTCTCCCAAATGCAGACACACCATCACGCCCCTCTCTACAATCTGCTCCTTTTAAAAGGCGCTTCAGTAGAATCGGACTATCCGTAGAGTATCTAAGTTGGAAAGGACCCATAAGCATCATCGAGTCCAACTCCCCGCTCCTCGCAGGACTCCCTAAAACTAAACCACAGGGCTAAGAGCATCGTCCAGACGCTCCCCGAACTCCGAGCAGGGTCGAGGAGTCAACGGGCTTCAGTTACGCCGCGTTTGGAGGAGCGCACGATCGTCCCCCTGTGAGCAAGGGCGAGGCATTTTGCCAAGCAAGAAGCCCTCAAGTCTGCGCCCGGTCTTCCGAAAGCCAAGCAGTTCACCGTGTTTCTGGGTTTGTATTTGTTCTGATATACAAGACCACAGATGGGGCTTGTTTAGAGAAAAATAAATGCGAAACAACCTTCCAGAGAACAAGGCTTTTGTGAAGCTTCTCTCTCAGACTCAGGAGTTTAGCCAATTTCATAATTATGCAACATGAAAAGGAGGTGGGTGTAATCCCTTACCAAGCTTGATTCTTCAGTTTTCTCAGTTCTTTAGTCGCCCAGGTAGCGAGGGTTTTTGTTTTGTTCGTCTTGGATCTTCTTCCTTCAGTTAGCAGTTCATGTATCATGGGTCTAGCTTCTACTAATTTCAGTACATCTTTTCCAAACGCTGTACACAAATCCCTGAAGAAGAAAGAGAGGCTGTGAGGCTCAGTGCCACAAACAGATGTGCCAGTACCACTCTTGATCAGCTCTCGCTAGCAAAAAGAAATCTGACTCACAGCTAATGTCCTTTTTAAAATGCTGCATATGGTCACTAATTTCAATTTCTGATATTGTGACTAACTGGAGACATCCAATCTCCCGTCCAAAGACGGATCTCCCTGATGTTCCCATCAGCTCTCCCTAAGTTCAACAGAAAAGATTATAACACCCTGACCCGAGCTCCTCCATACCCAAGGAACTGAAGGTGAGGTGTTTTGTTTTTAAGCCCAGGTCATCCCTGAAAAAGAAAAAAAACCCCTATCCAGAATTTCTGTAACACACCTCCAGCTTCCACTGGTACCTACTGGTTTTCACCCTGTCAAAGGACCTCACCCACATAACCGCTTCACACCTTGGGTTAAACATCCACCGCTACACTGCAAAAACCCAGAACTGATGTTAAATACCTCAGACCGTCATGAAAACCCAGTTTCAAATATTAAGACTGTTGTACAAAGATTTCTATCTACCTAATGAGAGTGCCGTCGGCTGAAATAGGATGGGGATGCTCACCCTATCAGTCCTGCAGCACACGCCACTACTCCGTCGGTGTGATCCTCATCTCCAGCAATGTGGTCAATGTAAGACAGAATAAATTCTACTCTGGGCTGCACCAGCATCACATCGGCTGAAAGAAAACAACTTTATTATAGCAGGGGGAAACACAGTTCATGTCTAATAGTCTGCCCTTTAAAAGGGATTTCAGTGTAGCCCCAAACAGCCAGAATCTGCCCCCCCAAGAGCTCTCCAAGATAGGGAGGGCCCTAAACCCATTCCCTGCTCACAGCAGCAAAGCGTTTGCTCCCACAGGGAAGGGAACGAACAAGGATATGCCCATGGACGCGACCACAACTGTGGAACAGCTTGTCCAAGCAGAGTTCTTCCTATCTCCCTTTGCCATTTCAGGCACAGAAACACCATGGAAGGACAGAGTACTCACGGTGCACATTTTCTTGGTCTCCCTTCAATCCCTGGATGATGCCAGTGTAAGCTTCCAGGCAGCCCTCCCTCAACTCGTTCAGGTAATCCACCATGTCGTAGTCAGACTGGAAAGGCCACGGGAAAGCACGCGTTAGCAACGGCCCCGATGAGGTGTGCGCAGCCCTTACTTGTTTGGGATTTTAACGAAGGAACCGGAGCGAGCACCGCTGGCTTACCTTATCAACCTGCGCTTGGGATGCCTGCTGGAGGGTATTCAGTACAACATCTAGGTACTTCTTAAATTCTCCTCCGATGGCAAGGGCAATATCGCCAAACACCGAGAGAATCTGAGGCTTCACAGACCTATGAACGTTTTCGTTCTGGAAGAGATTTCAGCACCATTACACTCAGCTGCACTTCTTTTCAAGGGGGGTGGAGCTAATAAATTAAGACATTTACTTGAAATTAAATCCTAACCCCCAATAAATTTGGATTCTGTTCAAATAGTAAGCAAGATAGTTGTCAAACACGAGATCTTCAGAGCATGCCTAACACTTCTGCTTCTCCCACCTCCCACTATCCTCTCAGTGTGCAAGCCAACTGTTACTAACTGGCTAATGAGAAGGTAAACACTCACCCCCAAGTTCTCCAGGAGCAGCTGCATAACCTCATCACAAAAAGGCAAGATGTTGGATTGCAGGACTCTGCATAAGTCACCAACCAGGCCCACTGCAGCCAGACAAACCTGCAAATAGAACAGCAAGTAAGACACCCACCCAGTGAGTCAGTCTTCCACACTCTATCCTTACAGCTTCAGCTTATTAAAGCACTAAGTAGTGGTGAGAGTTCGCGGCCATTAAAGCATCGAGAATAACGACCCTCATATAGCAGCTGATGAGTCCCTGCTTCGTTAACCATTTCTATCACAAAGCTGCAAAGAGCTGAGCGTGCTTCACCAAGGGGGAGGGCAAGAGATCCAGGTGCCAATGAAGTGACAGGTACTCGCGCTGAACAAATGCGGCCAAATTCAGCAGCCGGGTGCTCTAAACACGCGCCCCACAGCGAGTACCGTGACTCGACCTTCTAATGGAAATTCGCAGCCAGTACCAAGCTCTTTCCTCATCAAGGCCAACTAACATGTGGCCACTGTGAAAACACGGGTGTCAAGTCAATGAAGCCTTCTGCTGAATTAAATACAAGAGAGTCGAAAATTGTGCGTGCAGCCAGTAATTAGAGAAAAAAGTCTACGGGGCTCCAATTTTGGTTTCATCACCAGAAGCTGTGGTATTTTACAGATGCACACCTGCTGAACTCAGCATCTGTGAGCAGATGAGAATTTAGAGATTGTGAACACAGGGCTGCCTGGTTCGACCTCTACCTGGTACTCAGCATAGTTCTTCAGTCCAATGCCAAGGAACGGTTTGAAGGCATCCATGTACTTCAGAAACTCTCCACCTAAGACTGTGCAGGGAAAATATTCTAGTTAGAAAAAAAATTCCAACCTACAACGTATTTGTTGGAGTTCAACAAAACAGAAACCCACCATTATATTCCACCCAAACCACTGGTAGCTGTACGTTCCGCAGCAGCACAACAAATTGATTCTCACACAAAAACTGAGCATCAGTGAACTATGTCCATTTGGACTAAACTGAGATTCGAAAAAGCTCAATTCTTTGCAGGCCTCTGAAGACACACAAACCCTGTCTGTGCTCAGAAAGGATGCTGAGATCTCCCTGACTGAGCAGACCCATCAGAGGGAGCGGGACGTGGCAGCATGCTTCAGACAGGGTTCGGCACTGTTACGTTGCTTTGCATCAGCTGAAAACTCCATGCCTTTTCACATCGCTTTACTGCCGTAACAGCTGTAACGTCTTCCTTTTGGAAACAGCTGCTCAACCTCTTCAGAGCTGCGCAGTTCAAGCAGGGCATTCTTCAGTATGTTTACATTTAAGCAGTATTTGATGTAAAATGTTTCTGCTCTTCTCTGCCAACCTTCTCCAAGTCACTTGCATTACTCAGACCGCACATGCAGCCTTATCTATCCGAAAGTGAAAAGGCCTTTGTCCCAAGAGGATACGCACTTTCATTTTTACTTGCAGGTTAGCTTGTAATGATCCCATTCGGTCTTCTCCTTTGCTTCCCAGCTTCCTTGGGCAATCCCACTTAACGTTCCCAAGAGCAGAGGGGTACCCACTAAAGACCTGCTCTCCAAAACACACCAGCGTTGGCAGGGGCTACTCCAAAAAGCCAAAACTAACTCTGCTGCACTTACAAGGTGTCCTGTGTTCTCAGAGCCTCAGCAGTCTAGCCAGGATAACGGCCTCAGGAAAGAGGGAAGGCTCAAACGAGCCTCCTTACAGACTGACCTCCCTGAAGACTCATTTCCAAATCACGCGTGGCTTTTACCGGAGATGAGGCAGGGGCGTTAGGCAATGAGGTTACACGTAGACTTTCAACAGCACCAACTTTCACACCCCTACGTAGCATGTGACAACAGAGCATGTCCTAGAGCTCCAGGTGACGCCACAGCCACCAGCTTCTAAACCTGAACCATGAAGCTCAAATTGCCTGGAATACCACAACCCAAATTTTATTTTATTTCACCCAGTCTGACCCACTCTAACGCTGGTCTTTGCCACCATGATTTCTTTTAAAGAATAATAACTGTAAATCCACCACCGACAAAACTGCACAAAACACCCACGGGCCACAGGCAGCGGCAAGTAGAAATCATTACGATAACGTTCGATCTGTCCTGCAGCAGCACAAAGAGACCAGGTTCCCGTTGTGCTGGGCACTGTACAAAGTAGCACTAGGGTGGTTTTTTTTCTGGCAGGATTTGCATCGTAGCTAGGTTATTAACGGAAAACAAACAATTCATTCATGAAACACAGTCTAGCGTAACTGGCCAGTCTCGGAGCTTCACAGATACATGTGGTGAGATGTGTGGTCAAAACCATACCTCAAGCAAAACCAGGAACTAATGTTTTTTTGCCATATAGTCAAAAAGAGAAGGAAGCAAACCAGGTCTGTCACAGCTTTGCCTTCCCCCACCAAACGCAACCTTGGCTCTGCAGCACAATACTGACCTTCTACCAGGGTGCTGACTGCCATCAGGGCATCCTCCTGCACGCCCCCCGAGCCCGCCGTGCTCTGGAACATTCTCAGCAGAGATGCCATCACCACGTCGGAGATTTGCAAAGCATCCTGGTGCTGGACCTTCCGGAGGACGTTCTGGGCGGGAACGGAGAAAGAAATTGTAATTGCTTCCATCTATGCAAGGCTGAATCGTGCCTTTCTGTCTCCTGCGCTAGCTCCGAACACTCGTGACCATGTTGGGCTGCTAAAAAGGAAGCTGCTGTCTGAACTCTGTTGCTGCAAAAATATGCTTTGTCAGTGCAAGTGCAAAGTCCCATTCATTTTAGCTGCATTCAATGTTCCAGCTACAGAACAAGCTGAATTTACCTTTCCTGCTGCATAGGCTATTCTCTGGGCTTTCCATTTGTAAGGTGGCATTAAATGTGACCAGCCCAAATTTGGCCCTATAAAAAAAAGCCCTTTTCTATCACAGCAATGTGATGGTAATCTCTTACTGCCAAATACGGGTTGCCTGTAAGCTTTGCTTCTAAATCACAGAATTAAACTTCAGAAACATAAGAATGTCCTTACTGCTAACTGCAGTCAAACCTCTCCTACCTGGGATGAACAGAGGATAAATTAACATACAACCAACACAAAATAGGTTTACAGGAAGACGGTTAGCACTGAGGGGTTTGAAAAGCAAAGCTGATTTCTGAATTTCTGCCTGTCGTACCAGCAGAGCAGGGTGGTGAGCACACGCGTGCTCCGTGTTATCCAGCACGTTACAGTGAGCAGAAGGGCCGAGGAAATCCCCAGGTAAATACCTGGGCTTAACCTACGCTCTGCTCCTACTGTTACGGTTCTGACCGTCGCTTTCAGCACGTGAACTACAGAACACAGCTTTGATGCATCCTTATTTAAAATAAACGTGCACTTTCTATGAAAAGTGAAAGACTGATTCCTTAACCTGTGGAGGAAAATAATTATTTCAAGTCTGATTCTGCAAACTGAGTCACTCCAAAGAGACTGACTTTGTTTAAATAATTGGGTTTGATTTTCTCATTCCATTTCAATATTAACAAATGTTATTCCTCTGCTGGATGTTCACAACTGTATTTCCAGCAGAAGAGAAAAAGTACATAACAAAGTAGTACACTTGACTATGTCATGCTGAAAAAAATCTCCCTGCTGATTTTTACTTAGTGGTATTTAAGTATCTGCTGCAACTACTGTAAATACTTAAGGTTCAGATTTTGCAATAATGAAGAAGCAGACATTTACAAATTAAAACTAGTGGTTTAATTCCACCTGTACTACGCTTCCACAGGCAGAGGTGTCCTGAAAGATCAGTGATCGCTCTGTGCCAAAAGGAGAGATTCTGGATACCGAAGTCTCCCCATTAAAGCCCACAATAAGGACAGATTATTCCCATCTACCCATTATTTGAAAAAATTACCCTAAAAATTGGAGAGTGAAAGTAACAGCTGATGCTATGGGCTTTTGAACAAGAGGGATGGAGTTAACGATTTCTCAAAACAACCTGGAGACAACACCCTGGAGACCTCCTAACCTCGCTTAAGAGAACAGGAAGCTGAAGCAGGCTGTTACCTGCGAGCGAGGAAAAGGCTCCTTTTAACGCGCTAATGGAATGGGAGAAGAACTGCAGAGAATAGGTACCAGCACCCGACAAAGGAACACATCCGAGCAGAGACAGATACTCTGCTCTGCTCAGATTTCAGATTACATAGTACTCTGCTACACCTCCAAAGAAAATGCTCCTCTCTCCTCTGAGCCGCAGAGAGCTGTGCTGATGCTGAATCTACGTCTATGAGAGAGTTTTAAAGCAGCGCCTGGTAACTGTTAATAAACTAGGCACGACAGCACAGTACCACCCTTACTGCCATGCAAACGGGAGAGCTTCAATACCCAACACCACACATTTCAGAGGAGGCTCTGATCAATCTGCTGAGCCGTTTTGGGGGGGGAAAAAAAAAAAACCAAACGGCTGTTTTCAGTGGACTTTGTAGGAGTAAGCAAGGAACTGCAACGCGCTAGTACTCCAAGTCACATGGGCTGTTCATTACCAGATGTTTAATTTCAAGGACACTCAGTGCATTTTAATTAGTGCCATTTTAAATAAGAACACCAACCACAAGAGGCAGATGAACAAATTAAAGCCCTTATGGAGTTTTTTTGTCTGTGCCAACCAAAGCGATTGTTCTGCCTGTAGCCAACATAAGAGCCAATCTGAAAGCACATACAATCTTTAACACGCGGTATACAGTGTTCTTTATTCATATTGCCCTAAATTTTTTAAGTCGTACTCTACCGAAGCCTTCTGAACCTTGTATCACCTCCCACGTGTCAGCTGGGACACAAGATCCAATTTCCTCATTCAGATCTCATCAACAGGACCAAGTCTGCATCCTTGGGGGCACAGAAACGTCTCTAAAACCGCCTCTTCCCCATAACCACAAACACAGGAGACAGGCACTTACCTGTAGAGTAGCACAAAGAAGAGACTGAAGATCATTGAACTGGATTCTGTCGGAAGTGCTCTGGATATGAGACTGAAAAAGAACAAAACCCCACACGTGAAAAGCCTGTGTGAAAAGCCTGCATCGCAGTCAGTGCAAACCCCGTGCATTTTGACAGCACTGCAAGATCCAGAGATTCAGTTTTAAACATCGGTTTTCTTCAAATTTAAGACAAGAGGTACCGTTCAGAAGCTTAATATATCTACTATCTATACAAAAAATAAAATCACGATACCATAATATATGCAGTCAGCATCAAAACTCATTTTTCGACACCAGATGAAGCCACAGAACACCGAGGACATCACACCTACTTAAACCTTAAACCCCTTACCGTAACGGGGGTTTCAGACTCAGGTTTGCCTACCTCCATCTGCAGCACTTGCTGAAGTCGTTCCATGATGACCAGAGTTGTCTTTTGGACAGCAGGGTAACAGTCCTTGGCACTGTTTTTCACTATTTCCATCAGAGATTCATATGCAGAACTCCTCAAGTTATTCTGGTGTCCATCAGGTCTGTAACAGAAGGAATATATTTGCAGCTCCCAGTGCTCAGGCTTGCTTAGAAACAGCCTTTTTTTTTTTTTTAGTAAATCAGTAACAGCTAAATTTCAGTGTTGTGACAAGCAGAAGCACTTGCATTCCTGTATTCCAAGACTTGAAAGTAAATGAAATTTGTGAAGCCACTTTTGGAACTTTTTTTTTTTTCATTTGCTATTAATAATGACTTCCAATATCTTCAGTCACTGGCAGCAAGTACAGGAACAGAAAAAGCCTCAAACCCACATCTTCCAGCGTGCCGTTACCCTGCCTCGAAAGAGATGGTCTCAAGAGGTGAGCAGCATACATTACTACCTCTCTGACATCCCTCCCAGACGTCGGTGAGGGTGTTAAATTTGAAATAAAGACAGCCGAGATCTGTGCTAAGATGACTGATGGGCTTCAGAGCCTTGAGCTAAACACTGCACTTCTGGTCGGATGTAAATTAGACAGGAAAAGTTTAGACTTTGAACTGTTCAGACAGGGACATCATTTAAGAAGAAGTAGTCCTGCAGCAAAGGGTTTCAACTGACGATTGAACTGATCCCAGGATTGAACTCTGAGCTGTCAAGATTTATGCGACCTTCAAGGCAGAAGATGACTTCAGCATTACCCTTATTTTTGCACCTGCAGAACTGAAAAAAAATATTTTGCCTCATCTATTTATATTTCAGCTTAGTTGGGAAAAGGACGGTACCTGGCCTAACTAGGTCCTCAGCTCTTCGGGGAGCACCTGGCGCTAATGTAAATGGATGTAACACTACAACAACCGCCACGGCAGGAAACCACCACAGTAAAACGAACTGTACGACACACGCAGATTTCTAATTACGCCTTGCTGCAATCCTGATTATTCAGTGGCTTTGTAGCCAACCTTGAAGAGTCTTATGACTACTGTACAAAGATGTGCAGAGTCTTCAACTGTGCTGGGAGACTTGAAAGTAAAACATGAAAGAGGCGCTCTTGGAGGAAACCCCAGACTTACTAAAAGCAGATACGGACAAAATACTGAGAAATTATTCTGTGTGAATAAGCTTTCTTCTGGGGATTAGAATTCTGTATTCCATGTGATACCAAAAAAGCCTGGTTCTGATAAAACACCATTCAGATCTAAGCTGCAAGAGAAAGAGGACCAACAGCCTGAAGTAAAAAAAAAAAAAAAGAAAAAAAAAGAAAAAAAAAGAAAAAAAAAAAAAAAAGAAAAAAGCACATTATAGCAGAGCTTAAGCCAGCCAGTTTAGCATTACCTATCTGCAGTCTCCAGAAGCTTCTGAACTATTAGCTCAAATGAAGAGGATAAGCAGTAGGTTGCTGGTTCTTCCTGATCATCAGCTACATCTGCAGCTTCATAGGCAGCTTCAGCAAGACTAGAGAAGGCCTGAAACACAGAACAACCATTGCTATTACTCAAATGAGTTTACCCTCACAAGTCCAGAAACATGTATTCCAACAGTTTTCATTCTAACAAAACAAGCCCCCAAAAACCCTGAACGTGCAGGATTAACAACTCCCTTCACTGAACTTTGGTCAACAGCGGTGAAAACATCAAAGACTTAAACCGTAACGTTAACAGGCACGGCAGTCACACTGTCTGCAGACAAGTGTCCACGTAGCGTTCCTGGTCTCAACAACCGGTAGCTGTCAAGAAGCAAACTGAATAAAGGCAGATTGCTTGAACCTTGCAGGATACAGACAGATTCATACCCAGCATCATCATCACAAGTTAAAATCCCGGTTTAGACAAGGCTGCGGACTGCTCAAATTCCCAACTGCAGAGCGATTGTCACTGCTCAGAGACAGGTGGATTAGAAGAGTTGAAAGCCTCCTGATTTTCATTTCAGTCTAACAACATATAGTAGTCATCATCTTCAGAAGACAAAAGCCATAGCTACATGGACTTTTGCCAGGATCAACGGATCAGGGAAAAGCTTCCGTGCTGACTAGAAGCCTTCAAACCTCTGGAATACTAAGAGAACAAATTCTGTCATTTCTGAAACTTGTTTTGACATGCAAATACTCATCTCAAGCTCAATTCTTATTGAGCAGCTCTCTTAAAAGGCAGTGAGGGACACATCCTCTTTATAGTGAAAGATCAGATATGCTACTTGGTAGCAGACATGCATCAAGACGATGATATGACTGAAGTTTGCAAACCAACCCAAGGGACTGCAGCGCCGTAACTGAACAAAAAAAATCTCATGCTCCTCAATTTAGTTCTGGAATCACTGCAGCAGGCGTAGGTAACGGAAAACAAGGTCTCTCGTCCCTCCCTTAATCTTAAGGCAGCAATCCAGTTGCCCCCAAGAAAAAAACCTAAATCCCAACATGCCTTTTCTAAACAGCTATCACACCTGTGATTGAGGACAGCTTCCACAGCATTTTCAAACTGAAGGCAACTTCTACACTGTGAATACTAGCATTTTTCACCTTAAAATCCATTTCTTCCTTTACTCTTTCCTACCAGAGCCACAAAACAGACTTGAGACAACTTACAGTCAAACACAGTTGCGTTTGCTGGATGACCAAGGTGTGAGTCATCTCTGAAATCCATTTAGATGTCTAAGTATATATACGTATGCATGCATGTATATGTGTGTGCGTGTATTCACACATATGAACATGAGCTGCGTTCCCCTTGTAGATAGAAACTTATCCCATGTCCAACAGCGGAGGGGCGGCCTTACCCAGCACACGTTGGAGGCCACTCTGGGCTCGGCGCTCAGGCCCTCCATCAGACACTGCAGCAGCGGAGCGAGGTAAATGTCGTTGATGGCAGCTTCAGGAAGCATCTCACAGATCCTGCCCACAGTCCAAGCAGCTGTGTCTCGAACCACAACGCTGGGGTCCTTCATTAGTTCTATTAAAGTTGGCATTGCCTAGAACATCATTGCAGGCAGGAGAAAAGTGTGATCATATGTGATATATGGAAATAATACGAGTTTGCCACTTGTTCTGATTTTACTGTATTCCCTACAAGCTAGCAATAGATCTGAGAGGGGGAGGACAGTCTAGATCCAGTCAGGCCATGTCCTCTTATTTTAAGATTTATAAAGTTATTTCCTAGGGGAGAAGACTTGAGAACAGAATACCTGACTCTGTGTCAGAAGTCCTGCACCTCCCTGTGATTCAGAGCTACATAACCCAACTATCTGCCTGGGGCCTACCAAATCTCTCTAAAACATGATTAAAAGGTGGCATCCTTTCGCTTTTCCTCAGATTAAGAACAACGTGTAAAGCAAGCATTCTCCTCCAAATAAATCACAAAGTTTTTGCTCTACAAGCCTCTCAAGAAAACACAATGAATCTTACCTGTATGACTAGTGGTTTGAGCTGGTTCGGTTCTGGTCCTTCCAAAATGCACCCAAAAGCCATCACAGCTGCATCTCTGTATCGCCAGTCTGGATTTTTAATGTGTTCTTTAATAAAGGGCAGTACGTGAGGAACAATGTCATCTTCACAGCAGGTCGCCAGGAGCATGAGGCAGACTCCTGCTGCTTTGCAGGGGTTCCAGTCGTCGTCATCATCGTTTTCATCCTAGGAGAAGAGCACCCCTGGGTCAGTCTGGGGGAAAATATCCCTTATCACTCACAGGCAGTGCCATCCTGTTGGATCTACTGCAAGTAACGTTGCCTTATTACCAGGGGTTATATTTAGAAATTGATTCAGGTCTGGAAGCACTAGCTACATCTCTGGCAGAGAAGCAACCCAAGTTACTTGCATCATCTGTACCTTTCCACCCTGGTGCAAGGCTGCCAGCTCTTCACTGACGCACCTACAGTAGCCTCACACATCTTCCAAACTGCTTCTCTCTCATCTAGGTTGAGATTTTGTTGCTTTGATCCATGCCATCGCCTCACGGAGTGGCCTGCCATAGCAGTTAAATAGCTTCTTCCCCCCACTGTTAGCTCAGTCACTTACCGAATTCCTTTGAAGCTGTGTACCTGTGATTCTCTTAGCTGTTTTATTTTTCCTGTTTTAACAAGCACTTTAGAACCTCTTGCAATTTAACTCTCCGCATCCAAGCAGACAGCGATACAAAACAAACAGGGAAACAATTCCCCGGATTCGCTAAGAGCACCAAGCATTTTCCCAGTTCATTGCAACAAGCCAAATGAACTCCATCCTGTATGGCTTAATTAACAGTTTTATTTTATAATTAGACCTGCTGTAGCAAGTGATTCCATTAATTTTGATTAGACTGTGAAAAACAGTCCAAAAAAGTCCCTGTGAAGTGCTTAACAGGTACTAAATAAACATGGACTTCACAGTTCAAAAAGTAAAGCTCAAGAATTCCAGAAATTGGATCTCCAGTGACGCAGAGACTGTATAATGGTTTTAATTTCACAAACATTTTGTTAGGAATACAGATAACTATCAAACCCCATCAGAAACCATAAATACAAGCATGTGTTAACAGAATTCAGCATAAAAACAACACCGCATGCAGTCTCTCAGTCTCAGCCCTAAAAAACGATGCATCATTCAGTCAGAGTGGTGCATGATGTCTCATCACAGACCAAGGACCGCCACGACACAGTAAGGACTACCCGAGGGGACCTAAACCCTCTCTGGGACCACCAAGCACATCAAGAAGTCACCTACGCAAGGGAGCAATGACCACCGCTGACAGTTTGCTCCTCCATGCCTCAGCAGCAGTGCTGTCCCAGAACTTGAAAGCAGACACGGTACGTATTTTCTGACACGCAGCAGGGATTTCTGCAACTCACCTGTTTTGTTAATGTTTGTGTAAGAATTGGGACCAAGTACTGTAGTGCTCCCTTCGCATAAAATTTGCTAGTGTGCTCTGGAGGCCTTCCTTGCTCTGCTGCCTGGAAAAAAGAAAAGGTTACAAAATGATTTTCAGCGGCTATATAGGCACAAGGTCTGAATTACGAAGCCCAGTGGATACAAATTCTCTTTTGCGTGCTTCCCTCTCCTTCCCAACGCAAACTTTAAGTTACCATAACACACAGGAACCTCAAGGACACCCTGCACCAATCTCAGTTAAACATTCAATAAGCAAGTTCAATTTGCCATTCCATACACGTACAGAGCCCCTCCTCACATGGTACAAATATAAATATTTTCAGTTTGCAGTTATGTATAATTAACAAGTGACCCCAAGCAGAAGCAGCAAAAGGTCTTCAGTGTATAAACTAAACCTACGTGCTGCTGCCTGTCCTTTTATCCTTGCTTTTTTGGGCATTCAACATAAATATATATTTAGCTACTTTTAAAGATGGATATGATTCATCTTCAAACTTTAAGCTATTATTGATCTGTACAGCTAATTTATGCAAACAGCATCCGCATGCAGAACAATACCCCAAATTCATCTCCAGCCCCATCCATTTTAAAGGATAACGATTATTTTTATTTCACCCCATAACTTTATACTTAACTCAGAGATAATGTATTACGTAGAACGGAACCAATCTTTTTGCGCACTGGGGTAGGGCTAAGTCGCTCACGCCCGTAGCAGACCCCAGAAACCTTACGTGTCAGTGTAAGAGAGTCCACTAGGCCTCCAAGACAGCAGGTAATTCAAGAAAGGCTTTCCCTTCAACGTGGCACGTTTATCTCAACAATTCGAGATGCCATCTTAACGAAGCGACAGCTCAAAGATCTTCACGATACTGAGAATTTTCTGGTATTATACTGTGCCTAGTATGCATGCTTAATGTGCATTTAGGTTAACCTTACAGGAGTAGCTTGAGCTGACTTTGGAATGCTAAAAAGAAATCAGGTAGCTGTCACGTACCATTTGCAGAAAACTAGCGCTTGTATGTCACAGCGTGTTCTCGTCAAACCTGTCAGAGAATCTTTATCTCAAGTAGTTTCAATTCCCAGCCAGGCTGGCGTTAAACCATTTTGCTCACCTAAACGGTAGTTCATCCTCATCTAATCTAGTAAGCGAAACGGATTATATTCAAGCTATGCTAAGAACTGTACATTAGGCCACAGAGCCTAGAAAACAACCCAAAGAGTCACTAAAGGGAATTCCAGCTGGTGACCCCTGTGCAATCTTAGCTACAACCTTTGCATTTACCTCGAACGGCACAACAAATTAATCGTAGCTGGGTAAGGCGGCTGCTAGTGCCCAGGCCAGCAGCTGACAACTAAGCCGGGTACCACACCTCGTGTCGAGGCAACAAGCCTCGCGGGCTTCATGCAGCCTCAGCTTCCGTCACAGACACGCATCGCATCAGAGCGGCGCGCGATGTCTCAGCACGGGGCCAGGACTGCCGCGCGAGGGGCTCAGACGGGCTCCTCTATGCTATTCCGCTTGGGAGAATAGAAGGACTTTCAGACGGGGTTCAAAGACGTGATTTCAGCAGTTTCACATAGATGATCACAAGCATTCGCCGCTTTTCAACAGTCATTTGCCAGCTCACCTCAGATGCCTCTATAGCCAGGTCCATCTCCTCATCGCAGACGTTTGACCAAAACTCTATCCCCTGTAGAGCCACCTCGTCTATGTCACTTTTCATTGCTTCAATAGTTATCTTCAGAAACAGGAAAGAAAGGAGGGGAGAGAAGGACATTTTAGCAAGTTATTTCTCCTAAAATACATGCCCCAAATTTTGGCCAACTGGTACGAGATTGAAGACTGTCTGAAATTGGATGCCACATTAGAGTTACTGTTCTTGAAGACAATCTCCTCATTTAGAAGTTTATCAGCCATCAGCGCCTCGGGAGCGCTGCAGAGCAAGCCAAGCGATCTGCACTGTCCTGACTTTTGGAGTCTCAAGTCTGAAACACCCGATGCCAGTTTTACGGATTTTACTAGGAGAAAGGGATTCACAGCACAGTCACAGCCAAAGAAAAACAAATCGGGAATGCAGGGACACTTTTCCTCTTGGATTAAGACAAAGGAGTACAGGAAGATTAGACAACTCCACATGAGAAACCTGAGTACTCACAGCAAAAAGCGCAGGACCCATGTATGTCTCCATATACTGATAATAAAGGGACATTATCTTCACCAAATTCTGTAAGGCAGCCACTCGTACCTGTCAAGAGTAGAAAATGGATCAAAGACGTGACCTTCCCGAGCGTTCCGAAAACCAAGCACAGTTGCAGCCTACCACAGATGAATATCCCAGCCTTTCTGCCAATTTCCTTTACTCCATGCCCAATAAGGTCACAACAAGTGGCGTAAATCCCCCTAGTAGTTTACTGTTTCTAACTTTAGGTATAAACCACATTTTGTTAAGAGTACTTACAAGCGCACCAATCATTTAACAGAATACTGGTTATTTCATGTAACACTTTTCAACTGTTTTTTGATGCTAGAGGTTCTAGCCAGCTTCCCCAGAAAGGCGCAGTGACAAATCAGGGCATTTACTTTCACCCACCCTCATACCATTTTCACTCACCCTTGTATCTGGACACTGTGTTGCTTCACAGACTACTTGCATAATAAAGTGCCTTTCAGACTAGAAGAAGAAAGAAAAGAACATTAGAACTGTATTACAAAAGCACTGAAGTCTCCGCAAGCCTTCCTACGGAGGATGTATTTTGAGTCTGGACTAGTACAATCGCTCATAGAGCACTTCTAAAGATCAAGGAATAGTACAGGTTACTATTCACTACTGTATTTTAAATAATTTCTATGGGAATCCCAGGCTTCCATTTTAAAAAGAAAAAACAAAAAAGGAAATCCTACTGTTTCTTGAACTATTTCAGCAATTGCTTCAAGAAAACCTCAAAACTCAGTCAGAACATAATTTTCTTGAAGGGCAGTACCTGGATATTCTCGCATTTCAGTAGGAACAGACTCGTGCCCAGGCTATTTACAGTACTGAAGCCCAACAGAAATACGGTCTGAATGGGTCACGCACCTCCAGTCTCAAATTTTGAAAGACTCTAGTTGATCCCAACCAACTCCCCTGCACTAGGCAAAGTTTTCATTAAAAGACCTTCTAAGCTGAAGGCTCAGTATTAATTCCATCTTCCCCATGCTCTCCCTGGTAGGATAGACTTAATCTGAGAAGGAAAAGAAAAAAATCAACAGATTTTTCTGTACTGAAAAGACTCTGATTCCGAGGCCCCTATTCTGAAGGCTCTTACAGGCCTTCCTCCCCCACCAATTTTCAGAGGCAAAGTTAAATCTGGATTGCTGCCACACCACTTGAAAGAAAGTGCTGATCCAAGCTTGTACTCTTACAGCAGCATTAGAGAGTAGAGTTTGATTAGGAAGCAGAGCATCGAATAGGCTAAACTCTAAGGTCAGTTCAAATTTATCCAAAAAAAGTCAATGACGCTTCCTTTCCATTGATGATTCTCTGAAGATTTCCACAGTATTTCTGCACTACAACGAGAACGTAACGGGTTTACAGAAATGAATCCAAGTCTCAGTTGCAACAGAATTATGCATCAAAATTCAGCGTGGTGCATGATTTCTCATCACAGACCGTGGATTCAGCCCTTGCATTTTAGGCCAAGAATTGTTACTGCTTCCCCCTCACCTCTTTGTCGAAGTTTGCTTTGGTGAATTCCAAAGAGTTCAGGAGTGCATTAGTAGCTGCTAGCTTCACATTGTTGCTGGGCTCTTCCTTTCTCATTCCCTGGATGATGGCTGTCAGGATCTCATTGGATTTGTCCTGAAGCTGCTCTGGATCCTAAAAGGAGTGTTGATAAAGTTATTTGGCAGCCAAACAGCTTTCTCTGTATTTTAAAGTACCCTCAAAGTTTGATCCTGAAATCTCAAGCAGAAGTTTTAGGACCTTAAGGCCAAGAAGCTCTTTGTTTCCTGGGAGCACCAGAAGGCAAATACAAGGAATTCATACACCGTTATGTCTTTACGGCCTCTGGGACAGAGAAGACTGAACTGGGCGCAGGTATTCCAGATATTCAAGTCATACTTGCCAAATAAACTCCACTGTTTGAAATAATAGGTCAACAAACTTCAGACTACTTGACTTCATTCAACTAGCAAGTTAAAACCCACTGTTTTCCAGTTCCTTTAGATACTGGGCGGAGGTTTACACCAGCACTTGCGGTTGATACTTTTATTGGTAAAGTTACAAATTTTTTTTAGATATAGGGCAAAAATATATTGCCTGGACCCGTAGCAAGGACAGGTAACTGTTAAGCACTCAAGGCTTAAAGAATAAAGCTATGAACGTAGACTAAAGATTTAAATTTAAGACCGCAAGATCCCCAAATAACTGTATTAATTGCTACAGCAGAATTTATCCAGCAGTAGATTCCCAAACTATGGCCACAAACTGTGTCACAACACGACTGACACAAACTACAAAACTCTAAGAGGGATCTTGGTTACAAAATACCCAACCAGCAAGCCAGGGCATCCAAAATCCAAAGGCCACTGACACACGCCATCCGAGGAAACAATGAACACGTGCTCAAGTCTTGCACGGACTTGTAACGGACAACGCTGGACCTGGAGCACTCCCCTGTGCAGCTGTAGATTTCCTCTTTTATTTCATTGACCCTCCGCGAAGCAAACGACCTCCTCACTGAAACTAATCCCCTGCAGCCTGATGGAAGCACCAAACACAAGATTTCTCCTTCTACTCCACTACACCGAGGTTCAAGCCGCGATATGCCACGCACGCATTCTCTATGGCGTTCAGTGGCACCAGAAAAGCAGCAGCTAATTTTGTTAGACAGCACACAGGGTTTTTGGAAGCAATTCAGATCAGATACTTGATGCAACACATCGCAATACTGCAAACTACACTGATAAAACCGTGACACTTTTGCAGAAGGTGCCTCAAAGAGCTACATATTCTTGCCCATGCATCAAAAATTCCTATATTAAGAATAAAGGGACTCCTCACGCGGGATGAGGGTAGTTGTCAGGTTTCCCCAACACAGAAAGGGATCAAACACTTATCGCTCATCTGTAACATTTTTTACACAATGGATGCTCAGCCCAAGTTTTATAGCAGCACCTCTCACCACCATACAAGCGCAGCGACATATAGACTTAAATCTGCACCTTACGAAAGGCGACCTGGATTTGTGCTGGGAAAGCAGGTCAGTCCTTTCAGCCACTGTCCTCGCGTGTTTACTGCCCATCCTCCTGTCAGCACAGAGACATCCTCCGGACAAGTATTAAACCACCACTTAAAATATACTCACGATATCCTGACAGATGTATCCAATGGCCTCCAACGTCGACTCTTTCATGTGCTCTGTACTGTGCTGATTCGTAACGTTCGTTACCAGCTGGGGAATGAGTTCGGGCCACTGGTTCATGGGGATCTCCGCACAGGCGATGCCGGCCACGCACTGAGAGGCTGAGCTGGGCCGGTACGTTTCTGTACCCAACGTCTGCAAAACCTGCGGGACAGAGATCAGCAGGCAATGGTTTGATGGCAGTGACCAAAGAGAGACGGGCGCTGGCTTGGCACCGAAGCCATCGCTTGATGTTATTCCAAACACACCCCCTCCCCAATAAAGCAGTTTGCTCGTTCTGCTGTAAACGACCACGGACAAATAACATTTGAAATGAACTTGGCCGTGGCTGCCCCTTTGAGGAAGTGAGATACAGCTGTGCGATTACACGTACTGCTACCACATCCTTTAAATCCCATACACAATGCTACGCGCCATAACGTGCAACAATGACTCACTGAACAATTCCTCCCGGCTCGTATTATAAAGCAAAATTGCGAAAGCTAAACAAATTGTGGTTTAACCCCCCCAAAAATACTGGACTGTTTATGCCAAGATAATCTGAATAGGACTGAATAATTTTCTTCCATTTTAATTGCCATCAGATGAATTATTTTTTTGTATACTTCAATAACTGTTCCTAAAAAAATGAAGGGGCATGCGTTTGTTTCAGCATTTCCAGTTGTACGTCTTCGTTTTCCATATATCCACTTAACAAACACTGTACTTCTAATGGTTCCTTACAGAAAACTGCAATAACCTGGGTTTGTTAGCTTCAGTACACAACACTGACAGCTCCTGTTAACAGCATATAGCTATCATCAATGTAAACAACAGACTGAAGCTGTATCACCATCACTCGCCCAACCTTAATTTTGCTACGTATGGATTCTATTAACACAAAAACGTCATAGAAAGCATACGGCCAACTTGCATCAATTGCACAACTCTTGTATATCCGAGCACACCTTTGTTCCCATCAGCCAAAACACACTAAATCCACTGGTTCTGCCATTGCAAGTCCTGAACTTTAACTACCAAAAAGCACAGGAGTCCTCAGGCAAATTCCCCACCTGTGTGAAAATTTGAGAATATCATTTTGTATTTGGAACTTGCAAATTTTTGACTATACTCTACTCTGAAAATTTGCTAGGCCCCGTGGAAATACGTGCGTTCAGACACAGAGTGTGCTTCAAAGATGTTAATATGGATTGTAAAACAGTTGAGGAAGCTGTTCAAGTAGAAGAAAAAGCGAACATCAACCCAGTTTCAATCACCCAGCGGGGAAGCTGTGCCCATTAGTTCCTGCAGTCGCATGAGACTATTCAACGACTATTTCCTTGTAAAAGTATTAACAGGTGTGATTTCAAGGCAGCAGCCTCATACCTGCTTCTTTGTATTTACCCAAATACTTCTATCGATTAAACATGCTACGAGCAACAAAGCAAGTGCAGAAGACATCGCCTGTCTCATCAAAGGGAGCAGCCAGCCAACAGAAGAGTCCTCAGGTGGAAAAGGATGGACAAGGCATTCACCACTCATCC